ATATAGAGACGTTCGAGAATATTGCGGTTTGTGGTTACCACTTTTAAATCTGGAAGCAGTAGAGTCTGCCATAGCTGATGGTGTAAATTTTACTGTTAGAAATGTTCCAATTGAGTGGACAAAATATGATGAAAATGAGGATGATTACGAAGGAACAATGGAAATTGGTGCATTTTTCTTTAACGATAGAAAATTAAACATCGAAGTTGGCGATTATATTTGTATAAAGTATTATAATATTATGAAAGATGTAAAATTTGAAAGCAACATAATGCCTAGCCTAGAAAAAAACATGTTGAAGGAAGAAGCAGTTTGGATATGTCACGCCATCTGTAGTTCCAAAAATCTTTTTTCAAATGGACAACAAATCAATGAAAGATTAAATATTATACCTGAGCATCTTTTCCCTGAAGAACCTAACACTGGCAAAATAAGGATGGATTTTGAAGTAAAGTCAATGAGCAACCGACCCCCGAAAGATTTTTGGAGCAGAAGTAAAGACACCCCCGCTACAATTTCAATTCATCATTTGCCTTATAGCGACTCAGTTAAATTTTTAACTTTAAGGAATCTTCTTAGAGTTGAAGATGAATTTATTCATGAAATTGTGGAAGGACGTATTCATGATAACAACAATGATAAAACACTTTTGAGTTTAAAGACGAATGATTACCTGAAAAAACCAAATGAGGATCAAGAGAAGGCTATTCGAAGAGCAATAACAAATCAATTTACTCTTATTCAAGGACCTCCAGGCACTGGAAAAACTCAGACAAGCGCTCAACTTATCTATCAGTTATGGCATATCAATAAAAGTAAGCATAGGGAAGAGAAAATCCTTTATTGCGGTCCATCGAATAAATCAGTTGATGTTATTCTTAGTAAGTTGTTAAATAGGTGATATTGCATATTATGAATATGATTTTCTATTCTTTTATAGAACATTTGCAGAATTTAAAGTCAGAAATAAATTATGTAAGAATTGTCAGTTCGGCAATTGAAAATGCAAATTATCCAGTACCAGGCTTTATTGCACATGGTAAAGCTGAATCTAATATAGATGCTGAAAGTGAAATGATTCAGAATAGAGACCGAGTCTTACATTTCGAGATAAGATCGAACGGTATGCCATATGCCAACGAATTGAAATATTACGATGAGTAAGTAGAGGCGATATAAATTTATAATATATTTTTTATCTACATTTTCTTGTTTTTTCCGCAGGCTTTTTAAGAAGGCAAAGAACAAAAAAGTCGACATATTTCACACTGACATTCGAAAGTACAAAAGGTGTCTGACTCGTGCAAAAAAAACGTATTTAAGAGACGTTGAAGTCATTTTATGCACAACTGCCTTGTCTCCTCTCAAAATCCTTGACAATGCACAAATAGGACAAGTAATTGTAGATGAAGCAGGAATGTGCACGGAGGCTGATGCTCTCATTCCTATTGTACATCACAATCCATCTAAAGTTATCTTAGTCGGTGATCATAAACAACTTCAACCAATTATCAAGAGTAGACGTGCAGCTCTTCTTGGTCTAAAGCAAAGTCTTTTTGCTAGATACGCGAAAAAGCTTGATACAAATATGCTTACGAAGCAATATAGAATGCATCACAGTATCGCTGAGGTTCCATCTCAAATATTTTACAATGGAAGATTGAAATCTCCTCTTCCTTGGCAAAATTCAAAACCTGAGTTGTCTATTTGGCCTAATAGTAGTGTTGCGTGCGCATTCTGCGACGTGGTAGGGAAGGAAGAAAGTGAATTGGTTTCTACAGCTTCCGCCAGTGAAGCATCAAAAAGAAATGTTGAAGAAGCTATGCATACTGTCAAAGTAGTCAAATGTCTCTTATCGAAAAAACAAGACAGAAAAGATATAGTAGTTTTAACGCCATATCGGGCTCAAGTTGAAGAGGTCAAACACCAATTGAAAGAAGCCAGCAAAGAGTTGAAATGGAAGAAATGTGCGATAGAAAAAATTGAAGTACAAACAGTAATCAAGTCGCAAGGATCCGAATGGAAATACGTTGTACTAAGTTGCGTAAGATCTCTTCCATTAGATCAAATAGAAAGTGAACCAAACGAATCATGGACTGCAAGAGTTTTAGGATTTATAACGGATCCAAATCAATTGAATGTGGCTATAACAAGAGCCAAACACGGATTATTTATCATTGGTTTGTACAAAATGAAATACGTTATAGATGAACAAAAATGCAAATAATTTTCTCTCTTATAGGTAACTCGAGACTACTACAAGCAAACTCTTCTTGGTCCACATTGATAGATTGGTATAGGAACGAAGGGTGCATTTTATCAGGGACAGACTCTTTCGCTATATAATCGAATCTAAATGTTTTGGTTCAATGTAAATAATTGGGTTTATTTGTAAAAATGTCTTGTTGCTAACAACATTTAAGAGAAGTTGATAAGAAATACTTGCAAATCTTTGTATCTCTCCGAAAACATCGAAATAAACTTATTAACTTACTCATGTTATTATTAATCAATTCAAAGAGAGAGACTGTTTTTTATGTTCAGTTGATGAAATTGAAAGACATTTCCGCATAAAACAAATTCAAACACAATCTTGAACATGAAAGGTTTGAATTCTTTTTTTTCCTGATAAAAGTATCAACTATGAAAACGAGATAGACAAATCTACGAAATAAAACAAGAATTTTCAAAAATATGGTCTTTATGTGGTCAAGTTTTCAGCCAAAGGCTTGCCTCTAACAAATCTGCAGAAATGTCTTTTGTTTTATGTAATGAAGTCAATCTTGGTATATGAAAGATACAGGTTATTTTTAAAATATTCTACAGAATATTGGTCGCTATTTCTGTCGAAATTTCATCTTGAACTTGAAGTTTTCTTCTGTTTTATGTACGATATGAAATACACTCCGATCACGTATACAACATGAGGAAAAGTTGATAAGAAATACTTGCAAATCTTTGTATCAATTCCGAAGAGTGTACGGTTCCTCGACACGAACCAGTCTTCTCTTTATTTGTAATTTATTTTATTATATATAATATAAACGCTACCTCTAAAAACAATTAAAGAAACATTTTGGTTGTTATAGCGGCCGTCTTTTGCTTGAATGTTCATTATTTTTTTCTGAACACAGATAAATCCCGACATAATTGTTAAAGAAAATTAAATTATAGTTGACGAAATACGATTAATAGCTCCCTCTAGCGGCAGTCTTTTGCTTGAATGTTCTTTGTTGAAGAAAAATTTAAATGAATATAATTGAAAAGAAAGTCTTTCTTGAAATATATGCAGCCACCTACCAGTTTTTTCTTTGCGCCATTTTTGTATAGTATACGGCGAAAAAGTCACTCACAGTCGTTCTAACTTTTAATCTATTTTATAATTTTCACATACGAAACAGAGAGATTGTTTTCTTTGTTTTGTTGATGAAATTGAAAGACATTTCCGTATAAAACAAACTCGAATCCAATCCTGAACTTGAACGCTTTGAATTATTCTTCAAACAGTACCGGCGGTGAGTCACTGTTACACCTCAAAAACAAAAAATTTTCTTGTTTCTTTCTCTTTCCGTACTTTAATGTGGTAGGCCTATTTTCAATGGGAGCATAAGTACTTGTTACAATCACAAAAATTACTCTAAAAGAATATTAAAAGTATTTTTTTGTTGTTATTTTGACTGTTATTTACAGGATATTATATTTTTTAATGCCTTAATATTTTGTGTGCATACCCTTAGCTTCTACAACTGCCCTAAGCCTTCTTTCCATTGTCTCATATAAGAATTGAATTTCCAATTCTGAAATTTTAAAAAATTCCTCTCTGAACATCTCCCACAGCTCATCCTTGTTTCTTGGCTTACGTGCCATTAAACGTTTTTTGCATATGCCCCATATTTGCTCAATTATGTTCAGGTCTGGGCTGTTTGCTGGCCATGGATCCAGTGTTTCTACTCCCTTTCTCTCGAGGTACGCTTTTGTTCTGGCTGCTGTATGACAGCTAGCCCCATCCTGCTGAAAATTTCCCCTCTCCTATAATTTGGGACAACATGACTGCTCAAAATTTTGACATAATCCGAAGCTGTCATGCGATTAGACACTAAAGCTAGGCCCCTATCTCCATTGAACTTAATGTAGCCAAACACCATTATATTCCCTCCCCCAAATTTTACTGTTTTTGTGGTATATTTGGGGTCATTCCGTTTACCTGGTGGCCTCCTAACAAACTCCCTTCTCCTAGGATGCAGCTCAACCTTTGATTCATCAGAAAAAATTACTTTTTTCCAATTTTCAATCCCCCAGTTTTCTCTCTCTCTCTACAGAACTCTTTCCTACTTATTATCTGCCTCTTAGATAAAGCAGGTGTTTTGGCTGCAATTCTCCCATTTAAGTTATTTTTTCGTAGTGCCTGCTTCACTGTTGTTAGAGAAAGAGATATAGGTATACCAGAATTATATAATACCTGATGGGCCGTCCACTTGGGGTATGATTTAGATGCCCTGGTAATTTGCCTTTCCATCTTTGGTGTCACTTTTTTCGGTCTACCACTTCTTTGCTTATCTTTTATCCTTTTTAGCTCTTTATATTATATTTATTTTATTATATATGATATAAACGCTACCTCTAAAAACAATTAAAGAAACATTTTGGTTGTTATAGCGGCCGTCTTTTGCTTGAATGTTCATTATTTTTTTCTGAACACAGACAAATCCCAACATAATTGTTAAAAGAAAATGAAAACCGTGGCTGACAAATGCGATTAATTTACATAGCCCCCTGGCTGTTCTATAGGAACGAAGGGTGCAATTTACCAGGGACAAATTAAAACTATTTTCCTACAAGATAAAGCAATAAACAACTTTAATCATCAATGAAAAGTTAATGTAGCAAACTTTACGATGTCCAGGTTTATAATACAATCATTTTATATTTTCAATTGATAAATTCATTCATACAGTATTGATTTTTTATATCTACAAATTCGGCATATACAGTATTTAAACATTAGTATAAAACGCTTTTGGAGAAACGAACAATAACAAGATGGCAAACGGAGACGACAACACAGATTTACCAATTATTCTGCAAGAGTTGAATTCTTTTGAGAGTCGTTTGACAGAAAATGATACAAGAACATTACGTCTACAAGATGGAAATTCGTGGTGGACTAGAGAAAATGACATGTTGGACAGTTTGAAAGAAAAACTAGAAAATAAACCTGACGTTTTTAAAGAACGGTATTTAAGGTACAAGGAAAACAAAAAGTATGGCGTCGATGAAAAGGGAAAAGCCTTTGAAGTAAATACAAAACAATCGAATCTATTCGAATACGATACAGTATTAGTTAACTGTCAAAAGGCTCTTGTTGAAGGTCTATTGGTAAAGTTTACTGATTATAGATACACGTATTACATTTGTAAACCAGACGGAAAGTACCTGATTCCTTTCTTTGATAAGAAGATACCAACACTTTATCGTGTCCATCGTTATACAGTGAAATCACGAAATGATACGTCAATTTCCGATGGTGTACTTGTATTTAAATTTGACCCAATTAAAGAAGGTAAAATTACGGCCCTGTCCGAAATAATTGATCGAAGAGATAGAGAAAAATACTATTACATTTGTATCTATCTCAAGTGGAACAGTGAGTTTAATTGTCCATTGTGTCTGACTGTTGGTAAGATTCAAAAAGAATATTTGTTTTATCCGGAAGTACTTCAACAGATTTTAAAAATAACACAACCAGTTTTTGAGATAAAGTCTAAACTCCCGCAACTTAGCAAAACAAAACAATACGCCTTCGACCGGTCAATAAAATCATATATCATAACAGAAAGTCAATCAACAGACAACGAAATTGAATGTATGTTCTCTGTACAATCTTTAAGAAAGAACGAATACTTAATTGGCATCCATATAGTCGACGCCTCATTCTATATTGAATCAGATCATTTTAAGGAGAGTTTATATAAAGGAAGATCTTTTAATTTTGGCGAAAATGCTACTTTACCTCTCTTCGATAAAAGCGAAATGGAACGTCATCCAAGTTTTAACAGCTATGTCCATACTATTTCCATATTTTTTCAATATAACAGTAAAACGACAAAAATAAAGCATAAGGAAGAAAAAAGTCTTAAAATTAGACAACCTATAGTCATCACCTACGAGAAGGTCCAACAAGTCATAGATAATGAAATTGAAGATTACCCTGATTTACGTGCACTGTATGAATTCTCGAAAGTTTCAAGAAAGCAAAGACTTGATCATCAAAATTACTCAGAAGATATTGCCTTCAAGAAATGGGATATATACGATGCTTTATTAATGGTTCAAGAACTTCACATTCAAGCAAATGTTGCTTTAACTCAACTATTACTGCAAAATGATAAAGACTATGTCCCTTATGGACATGTTGAAGAATGGTGGACTATTAAATCAAACGGAAAGAATGTTACGTATGATAAAGATAATGAAAGCCACGTTCCAACAGATGACAATATTGTTTTTATAAAGGAATTATGGAATATTATTAGAATTAATTTGGCTCAGAAAAAGTACGAAACTATAAGAAAAATCCTTCTACAAATAGATCATCGTCCTCTTGAAAAACTCTCCTTTATCGAGAGATCACCTCATTTTGCTAAATTCAAAGTCGATGATGAGAGTTATTCATTAGACTCAACCATAATGACATTTACATCACCTATGACCAGAATCATTGATGTATTTAATCAGTATCGTTTGTTTTATGAGGATCCGGAGGATATTTCAGCTAGCGAAGAAGATTTCTTACGAATTCTAATGTCGTTCAACGATAAAAATTCCATAATTAATGCCTTACATGAAGAATTTGTGGAAAAGCATCATGGAAATGGATTCACTAAAAGAAAGAAAGCTACTTGTATTTCCCTAGATAAGAAGAGAAACTTAATTTTACTCAGTGTAGTTCAGCCAAAGACTTATGAACTGAATGATATTGAATTGAATATTGTCAATTTTGGAACATTTAATAAGAGCATGACAAGTGACAGCTTAAAATTAGAATGGAAAGAACGTATTTTCCATGTAAATGAACAACAATACGAGAGCGACGAATCGGAGTTTAACTTCAATTTGAAGGATCAAGTTCTTAAAATATCCACAAAACAATGGAAAATAATCTTGGAAACTATTGAAAATCCAAACGGAAAGGAGGCTTTAATATCTGACCTAATAAATGAAATTTACCCGGATGAAAACGAAGAAGAAGTCAGAGTATGCTCCAAAGATATTGATACTGTGGCATTCTCTTTATTAGTGGAAAAGGGTAATGTTATTGATGTCATTATTGGCTCTTCAACAACTAAGCCTACAATTAGACCGCAGTATTTGTTCATTAAGCATAATCTTGGTTTTTGTATGGATCATATTGAAGATCCATTTCATTGTTTCTGTGAAAGTATCAACTATGAAAACGAGAAAGATACAACCTACGAAAGTAAAGAAGAATTTCTAAAAATATGGTCACCTGTATTAAATTTTCAAAGTGTTAAAATGGCCATTAAATATGGTGATAGATTTACTTTGAATAACGTTAATGTTCGTTACCGTGACGGTTACTGCGTCTTTCAACTGGAACAATCGCTTTTTAATGATAAAATGATAGAAATTGAAAAAGGAGATTACTTTTGCATAAGTCAACAAGTTCCCAATACCAATACCGCATTAAATAATGATCTATTTGAGAATAAAAGCTCATTTTGGATTTGTCACGGAGTCTGCATTGAAAATGATAATATCATAAAGATAGAGATTATCTCATCTTCAAATTATGATTTTCCACCCGATCATCTAAATGCTACTATAAAAGTTTATCGAAAGTTGAATGAGTATAAGGAAAAAGATAGAGTATTGAATGATTTGCTGCCGAACCTTAAAAAAGATACTTTGATCCATAAAATAATAACAAATTACAATACCAATTCGAAAGTTGATTTGAAGGAAATCTCTATTGTTTCCAAAATAAAAGGCTTAAAAAACCTGAAAAAAAAACAGAAAGAAGCAGTTGAATTTGCTCTTCAACGACAATTTTCAGTCATTAAATCAGCAGATACCGTATTAAACGGTAAATTGATTACTTTTATTGCGTATGGAATACTTGAAGACAAAGATAAATCATCTGAGAGGATATTAATTTGTTGTCCATCAGCAAAATCTGGAAATAATGTGATAAGTAAGTACTGGAAATATTACAATTCAAATTTTTTAACTTTCATATCAAAATGCTAGAAAATTTAATGAAAATAACAACAAAAGACTCGAAAATACTGAACTACATTCAAGTATTTAGCGACGTTACAGAAAAAGCCGATTGTAAACTTAGGAATGATCTGGTGGGTTTCTTTTCGAGCGAGGATAAAAAGGAACCTGTCATATTGAAAGAGAAAGCTTTGCATCATATCATTCGTGAAGGAAAGTATTCGAAAGAAATACTAGAAATGGAAAAGTAAGTCGATTTCTTATCAACATGATAAGATAATTACACAGTATAATGTAAATAATATTCTATTTGTAGAAACCCTGTGAGTTTCAATAGAAAAGATTATAAGGAGTTGGTTAAAAAAGCCAAAATAGACGTATTAAAAGAGGCTGATGTTGTTATAACAACATGCAAACTTTGCAGTTTAGACTGTATTCAACAATCTGGAAAGTTTACCCATCTTATTATAAATGACGCTGGAAAATGTAACGAAATGGATTCTCTTATCCCGCTACTTAATTATCAACCTGAAAACATTATTCTTATTGGTAATCGAAAACCACCAAGTTTAATATTCAACACCAAAACTTTTCCAAAAAGTTTAGGTCAAACATCTTTGTTTAAAAGATATTCGAAGAATGAGAGTGACATACTTTTTTCGGTTGATGTAGAGAAGAAGAAGAAAAGAAGAAAATGAAACAAGAGCATAAAAAGTCACTCACAGTCGTTCTAACTTTTAATCTATTTTATAATTTTCACATACGAAACAGAGAGATTGTTTTCTTTGTTTTGTTGATGAAATTGAAAGACATTTCCTTGTAAAACAAACTCGAATACAATCCTGAACTTGAACGCTTTGAATTATTCTTCATATATATTCAGTAGATTATCATTATTTTCTATTCATAAATACCCCCTAAACCTTAGGGAAATACTTGCAAATCTTTGTATTTCTCCGAAAACATCGAAATAAACTTATCAACTTACTCATGTTATTATTAAAATTGTAGTTGAAAAAATACGATCAATCACATAGACCTTATTTTTATCAAATCTAGATGGCGCTGGGTTCATAATATGCGTTTACAAGTCTCCTTGAAGGGACAAGGACAATTTATATAAACTGTAATTAAGAAACAATAGACGCTGGTAAGATAGTTTTATTGATATTGAATAAGTTTCTAGTTCATTAATTTTAAAGATGGATAGCGATCCCCCATTTATCGATATCAGCATACGAATAATTGAAGCTGTTCAAGCTGAAGATAGCTAGTACACGCAAATATCTCTAATTTTAAAGGTATAATTCATGTTTTACTATTACTGACATTAAATTTCCAAATTGACTGGTATGTAAAACATGGGACCGGTCGAAAACGGCCATAAATGAAATATTTGAAAGTTAGATTTCAGCCTGGGAAATGGTTAGGAGGAATAAGATAACTGTTGATATGTTCTTAGGAGGGTCCCATCTAATGGTTAGGGGTATTCAAAAAGGATAGACAAAAACAAGGGCTGGCTTAGGGTAAAAACCATAGATTTATGGCCGTTTTCTTCCACACCCTAGTAAGGCTTCTAATACGTTGTTTAGCGTAATTATTTGGCTATTTCTAGCCGACAAAAATTGCGATTACTCACTAATATTTCAAGCGAATATCGCGGGGAATTGGGTATAGTTTTCAACTAGCAATATCCATGCCTCGGATAACCTCATCGGCGATGGAATTGCTCCTGCGCAAAGCTGAAGATAGTTACACAGTCAACAGTCTATATTCCTAGGAATATGTCTCTGTACTTTCCGTCCTCATTTGAATATTACCTCCTTCTCTATGCTTCACGACGGTAGATGGCTCTTCGATATCCGAACCGTTATATATATTTCAAGAAAGACTTTCTTTAGCAGCAAAGTTCAAATGCATAACTAATTCAAATATTAACTGCTATTTTGATCATTTTAATTTTATTTCCTCTGTTATTGAAATAAATGTTTATATGTTTCATCCTTTCATATATTATGCTACGTTATGTGGCTCCATCTGTAACGTTAATTACTTTAGGAGATCTTTTCATAATAGCCTTTTCATTTAAATATTTGCAAGTTGTTTGGATTATCTTCAATCAGTTTCTCTGTTTTCATTCTATTTAAAAATAATTCAGCTATATTAATCCCTTAAAATCGAATAAATTACAAATTTATTTTAAACAATTAATACTACAATAAAAAGTAAAACATACAGCCACCTACCAGTTTTTTCTTTGCGCCATTTTTGTTAAAGTTTTTGTTGAACGTAATTTTTAACACACTAATAGATAATGTACAAGTCGAATAGTCGTGGAAATAGGGCGCAAAAGTTTAAGTCGCCGCCGAATATCTTCAAAACTCCCGTAAGAAAAAATTAATTGTCAATTTATAGTATAAAAGGATAATCTAACGTACTAAAAAAATATGTTCAGATACAACAGGAAACAGTGCAAAAGACCGAATCGGAAAAAGTCGTGGAAATAGAGAAGAAAAATATTAGTTTAATAGCAGAAATTGAAAAATTGGAATCAAAGTTTGGAATATTCTATTTAATAAGCCTATTAGAACCAGTATAGTATACTTAAATAGTGTTTTTTTTTTAAAAATCGTATAGAGGATATAACCTTACTATGTATAACGAATATATTAAGAGCTTACACGAGTATAATGAAGTGAAAGATGCCGCTCAAATGTTAATGGGAAAATTAGGTAGGAGAATAGAATATCTTAGTATATAACTAACAAAAGATTAGTAAATACCCTGTATAATCTTCTAATAAAAACTTCCATTTTGGTAGCTATATTGAAAAATACTACGACTAAAGAACTGTATAATGAATACGATTTGGATCTCGATGATTAATATGCCTTAATATGTATTTCTTTAATTTGTCTATACTAAAAAAAAGACTTTGGCAACGAGTGTAATAATACTGAAAAGAAAACAAATAATAGATATCATTTTTGTGCGATTCCTTATTTTCAATTATTATCCCAAATCAGGGTGAACAACGTAATGACGCTGCGGTAAAGTTTGGGTTTTTGCGTAATGCGAACTCGTGTTATTTACTGGTGGAGCCGCTTCATTTTCGGGCGGTAGATGGTGCCATGTCGTATACATCCATCTGTTGGTTCGAGTTGCCGGCGTCAATTGCCTTATGTATCGAAATCCAGGATCTTTGTATTGGCTTCCATTCGGCAGAGTATACGTTCCTGCTGGCCTATTTCTAACATTGGAAAAAATACAATTGAATAAGACACGACCCAGTTAGAAGTTACTTTTTATAAAAGAATCACATACTTATCAAGTGTCTCCAATATCTTGAGTAGTTTAACAGTCTCCTCGTTGTCTGCGGAAGAATCTTGTAACTTTGAATTAACCAGCGACTTGAAAAAATCGATTGCCGCCACCTTGTCTATCGTTATGAAAGTTGTGTTAAATTTTCATTGAACGATTATTATAGAATTTTAGATACCGACCTTTATCCGTAGCGCGTTTTAGCCAATCTTGAACAGTTTGACAAGGATCAGCCTTTCTTCTTGTTGGGCTTAAAGCTCTTTCGATTAACTTTCTATCATTTGCGCTAACAAAAGTAGAGTCCGATCTGACGGCTTGAATGCATTCCTCTCGTTTACCGTTAGGACCATTGGGAAATGATTGCAAGAGCTAGAATAAGAAAAATAGAGAAGACTATAATAAAAATGTGTTTACGCCTACGTAAACTACCTGTTTAACTCGAAGAGACTTTGGTTGTTTAGGCGATAGCGATCTAGTCTTAATCTCTGGCTGATCGTCTTTCGATTGAATTTTCTTTGGTGAATTGGGTTTGGAAATCTTCGAAAATGGTAAACCAGGTACTAAATAAGAAAAACAAGAGATTAAAAGTAGTTTTTGATTGTAAAGAGACAATAATCTAATAAAAGACTACTTACAACTTACGGATCCACTTTTAGAAGAGTTTACTCTTCCAGCCCCTACACCTATACTTGTAGGACTGGGTATCTTATTTTGAACTTTCGGTTCGACTTTTTCCTCCAGTTCATTTTCTAATTAGAAAAAGAATTAATTAGAAAAGAGAAGAAAACGAGAAAGATAAAGAGAGAGAGAGAAAGATTAATATTAGTATTATAATCCCATTAATTACGACTGAAGGACTTATTGTACTTTGAAAATTTTTACCTTTTCTTTCGTAGTTATTCTCCGTTAACCTATCAGGTACTTTCCAAGAGCTAAAAATCTGTTAACAAGATACACTTATATATTTAAAATCTTTAAGAATAAACTGTAATATGTAAACTATTTCAGGAATAAAAACATAAAGATTACCGTCGCCATTGATCGTTGCTAGCAACTGAACTACCGTAATCCGCTAATAGAACTATATGAGCGTATATACCAACAAGAAGTTATATTAATCTTTTAGCCGCTAGATCGAGACATAATATAAGCTTAAACGTTGAACAACACTGCTATTTGAATATAATATCATCCTATCGTCCTATCATCCTTTTTATCTATCTCTATTTAAACATTATTTAAATAGAATTAATTAGAAATACGAAGAGATATATTAATAAAACGTGTTTACTTTCAAATAGATTAAATTGTAGAAAGAGACAAAAATTAAAAGAGATTTCATTGACAATTCATAATTATTCATGTGTTGTCAAGGATGATTGTCTTTTTTGTTTATAGATAACTCTGTGTACTTATCTATGAATTTCTCTATGAATATTGTATATATAAATACAATATATACATTCATATATGAATTATAACCTACCAGTTGCGGTTGTTCTCTATCCATTCAATGGTTATGGTTTAATATATTTATAAATAGAAATATTGAACTACTTTTTGCAGAATAGGAATATCTGCTGTAGATACTCAACATAAAAGTATAACGATTCTATATTGCATAAAAAGAAAAAAGCTTGATAGATAAGGTACGTTACGGGCGTTAATCTATGACCTAATTAATTATTTTATTATTACATATACTGTATATTAATAATTTATATACTGTATATATACATATATATATATTGTATGTGGAATTATTTAAATTTGATGTAATCTAAGTAAAATATTTGCTTTACGGACATTATTAATAGACAGGTCTACCGTATAACACTGTTCGTTTTATTAACTAGGCACATAACAAGCTATTAGATATTTTACAATACTATATATACAGTATATATATATATATATATATATATATATATATATAAATTTATATAATTCTATATGCTTTAATCTTATATACACATAGTCTAATGTTACTTTTAAGACAATTACCTTAGCGCTCATTGCTCTATCCGTTATTTCTCCTGGACTTTTGTCCTTTTTCTTAACAATTAAAGAATTAGATCTTTGTAAACCTCGCGAAGCTCTTCTAAATAGATTGTCGGATCTTACGCTGGTTGGCTTCTGTTCCATCAATGGGATAAAATCTGTATGATAGAGACTAGCCCATCGAGTTTTCTTATGTTTCGGATTGCTATTTAAGTATTTATTAAGACGTTCAATTAACAGAGACATATTTAAAGAACAAACCTATAAACACTTTGGCAAAAAAGTGATGATGAATCGTTATAAATAGCTTTTAGCTGCGAAGCTAAAAAGTTACCGGGAATCATATTATCGTCAGTAAAGTTGTTCTTCTCCATCTGAGAGGCAATTAAATCGACTGTATCCATTTTAGATTGGCTTTTTCCTAGTGATTATTATTACTGTTTGAATAGTTGTTTGTTTTCAATTAGTTTTTTCTGCAGTTTTGTTCAAAAAAACAAAATCCCTTTTTTCTCTGCCGAATAAAGACTACGTCTAAGCGTTATCAGTCGATATAACGATTCCCTTCTAAACGCATAGCTACATTAGCAACGGGTCGCACTCATTCACCGCTAATCTTCTTTACCGTAAGCCAATTATGTATTAGATCTATTATTGTAGTTCTGTTCCTTATAGGCATATCCACATGTTGGACGGAGGGCGAAGTGCTCTTCTTATAGAAAAATAATGAAATCCTATAAATTTTATTGGTGTAGGTGAGAGAGCAAAAAAAATGGATTGTTTGTCGATAATAAGTGAATAAATTACTATTTATATGATATTAATAATAAACTGTACGTTTATATTCAGAATACTATACATTTATGTGTCGTCAGAGAAAGATAGTGAGAACGTTACAAAAATTTAACAGTATTTATAGAAATGTCACTAGATGGAGCTATGTTGAATCGCCTTCTTTCATCGAAAACGTGATCTTGATAGAGCTGTATTAACCAAACTTTACCGACGATAAAGTGTTGGTATCTTCTTGGAGTGTCTAAGGGGTTCCAAAACTTTATATTAGATCCGCCAGGGGGCTATGTAAATTAATCGCATTTGTCAGCCACGGTTTTCATTTTCTTTTAACAATTATGTTGGGATTTGTCTGTGTTCAGAAAAAAATAATGAACATTCAAGCAAAAGACGGCCGCTATAACAACCAAAATGTTTCTTTAATTGTTTTTAGAGGTAGCGTTTATATTACATATAATAAAATAAATTACAAATAAAGAGAAGACTGGTTCGTGAAGTGTTGAGGAACCGTACACTCTTCGGAATTGATACAAAGATTTGCAAGTATTTCTTATCAACTTTTCCTCATGTTGTATACGTGATCGGAGTGTATTTCATATCGTACATAAAACAGAAGAAAACTTCAAGTTCAAGATGAAATTTCGACAGAAATAGCGACCAATATTCTGTAGAATATTTTAAAAATAACCTGTATCTTTCATATACCAAGATTGATTTCATTACATAAAACAAAAGACATTTCTGCAGATTTGTTAGAGGCAAGCCTTTGGCTGAAAACTTGACCACATAAAGACCATATTTTTGAAAATTCTTGTTTTATTTCGTAGATTTGTCTTTCTCGTTTTCATAGTTGATACTTTTATCAGGAAAAAAAAGAATTCAAACCTTTCATGTTCAAGATTGTGTTTGAATTTGTTTTATGCGGAAATGTCTTTCAATTTCATCAACTGAACATAAAAAACAGTCTCTCTCTTTGAATTGATTAATAATAACATGAGTAAGTTAATAAGTTTATTTCGATGTTTTCGGAGAGATACAAAGATTTGCAAGTATTTCTTATCAACTTCTCTTAAATGTTGTTAGCAACAAGACATTTTTACAAATAAACCCAATTATTTACATTGAACCAAAACATTTAGATTCGATTATATAGCGAAAGAGTCTGTCCCTGATAAAATGCACCCTTCGTTCCTATACCAATCTATCAATCTGCACCAAGAAGAGTTTGCTTGTAGTAGTCTCGAGTTACCTGATAGTAGAGAAAATTATTTGCATTTTTGTTTATCTATAACGTATTTCATTTTTGTGATTGTGACAAGTACTTATGCTCCCATTGAAAATAGGCCTACCACATTAAAGTACGGAAAGAAAATGTTTTTTTTTTGAGGTGTAACAGTGACTCACCGCCGGTACTGTATGAAGAATAATTCAAAGCGTTCAAGTTCAGGATTGGATTCGAGGTGTTTTATACGGAAATGTCTTTCAATTTCATCAACAAAACAAAGAAAACAATCTCTCTGTTTCGTATGTGAAAATTATAAAATAGATTAAAAGTTAGAACGACTGTGAGTGACTTTTTCGCCGTTACTATACTGGTTCAATTAGGCTTATTATATATGTCTTATATTTCATTTATGGCCGTTTTCGACCGGTCCCATGTTTTACATACCAGTCAATTTGGAAATTTAATGTCAGTAATAGTAAAACATGAATTATACCTTTAAAATTAGAGATATTTGCGTGTACTAGCTATCTTCAGCTTGAACAGCTTCAATTATTCGTATGCTGATATCGATAAATGGGGGATCGCTATCCATCTTTAAAATTAATGAACTAGAAACTTATTCAATATCAATAAAACTATCTTACCAGCGTCTATTGTTTCTTAATGTACAGTTCATATATTCCGTCTCCACTTTTTCGTTAAAGTATTAACCAATCAACCAGAAACTATTAGTTAAAAGATGAAAAAAAGTTTGCGGAGACCAAACCGAAAGATTTCAACGAATGAAATTGCCGAAATCATTCAATGGTTATGAAGCCAGAGCCGTCTATACAGCATACATGATGATAGCTTTAGTAACTATACCTCGAAAAAAGGGGTTACTGTATATATGATAAAAATAAGGCCTATGTATTGATCGTATTTTTTCAGCTAAAATTTCATTTTCTGGAACATTCAAGCCAAAGACTGCAGCTGGAGGGAATTATCGTATTTCGTCACCTATAATTTAATTTTCTTTAACAATTATGTCGGGATTTATCTGTGTTCAGAAAAAAATAATGAACATTCAAGCAAAAGACGGCCGCTATAACAACCAAAATGTTTCTTTAATTGTTTTTAGAGGTAGCGTTTATATTATATATAATAAAATAAATTACAAATAAAGAGAAGACTGGTTCGTGTCGAGGAACCGTACACTCTTCGGAATTGATACAAAGATTTGCAAGTATTTCTTATCAACTTTTCCTCATGTTGTATACGTGATCGGAGTGTATTTCATATCGTACATAAAACAGAAGAAAACTTCAAGTTCAAGATGAAATTTCGACAGAAATAGCGACCAATATTCCGTAGAATATTTTAAAAATAACCTGTATCTTTCATATACCAAGATTGACTTCATTACATAAAACAAAAGACATTTCTGCAGATTTGTTAGAGGCAAGCCTTTGGCTGAAAACTTGACCACATAAAGACCATATTTTTGAAAATTCTTGTTTTATTTCGTAGATTTGTCTATCTCGTTTTCATAGTTGATACTTTTATCAGGAAAAAAAAGAATTCAAACCTTTCATGTTCAAGATTGTGTTTGAATTTGTTTTATGCGGAAATGTCTTTCAATTTCATCAACTGAACATAAAAAACAGTCTCTCTCTTTGAATTGATTAATAATAACATGAGTAAGTTAATAAGTTTATTTCGATGTTTTCGGAGAGATACAAAGATTTGCAAGTATTTCTTATCAACTTCTCTTAAATGTTGTTAGCAACAAGACATTTTTACAAATAAACCCAATTATTTACATTGAACCAAAACATTTAGATTCGATTATATAGCGAAAGAGTCTGTCCCTGATAAAATGCACCCTTCGTTCCTATACCAATCTATCAATGTGGACCAAGAAGAGTTTGCTTGTAGTAGTCTCGAGTTACCTATAAGAGAGAAAATTATTTGCATTTTTGTTCACCTATAACGTATTTCATTTTGTACAAACCAATGATAAATAATCCGTGTTTGGCTCTTGTTATAGCCACATTCAATTGATTTGGATCCGTTATAAATCCTAAAACCCTTGCAGTCCATGATTCGTTTGGTTCACTTTCTATTTGATCTAATGGAAGAGATCTTACGCAACTTAGTACAACGTATTTCCATTCGGATCCTTGCGACTTGATTACTGTTTGAACTTCAATTTTTTCTATCGCACATTTCTTCCATTTCAACTCTTTGCTGGCTTCTTTCAATTGGTGTTTGACCTCTTCAACTTGAGCCCGATATGGCGTTAAAACTACTATATCTTTTCTGTCTTGTTTTTTCGATAAGAGACATTTGACTACTTTGACAGTATGCATAGCTTCTTCAACATTTCTTTTTGATGCTTCACTGGCGGAAGCTGTAGAAACCAATTCACTTTCTTCCTTCCCTACCACGTCGCAGAATGCGCACGCAACACTACTATTAGGCCAAATAGACAACTCAGGTTTTGAATTTTGCCAAGGAAGAGGAGATTTCAATCTTCCATTGTAAAATATTTGAGATGGAACCTCAGCGATACTGTGATGCATTCTATATTGCTTCGTAAGCATATTTGTATCAAGCTTTTTCGCGTATCTAGCAAAAAGACTTTGCTTTAGACCAAGAAGAGCTGCACGTCTACTCTTGATAATTGGTTGAAGTTGTTTATGATCACCGACTAAGATAACTTTAGATGGATTGTGATGTACAATAGGAATGAGAGCATCAGCCTCCGTGCACATTCCTGCTTCATCTACAATTACTTGTCCTATTTGTGCATTGTCAAGGATTTTGAGAGGAGACAAGGCAGTTGTGCATAAAATGACTTCAACGTCTCTTAAATACGTTTTTTTTGCACGAGTCAGACACCTTTTGTACTTTCGAATGTCAGTGTGAAATATGTCGACTTTTTTGTTCTTTGCCTTCTTAAAAAGCCTGCGGAAAAAACAAGAAAATGTAGATAAAAAATATATTATAAATTTATATCGCCTCTACTTACTCATCGTAATATTTCAATTCGTTGGCATATGGCATACCGTTCGATCTTATCTCGAAATGTAAGACTCGGTCTCTATTCTGAATCATTTCACTTTCAGCATCTATATTAGATTCAGCTTTACCATGTGCAATAAAGCCTGGTACTGGATAATTTGCATTTTCAATTGCCGAACTGACAATTCTTACATAATTTATTTCTGACTTTAAATTCTGCAAATGTTCTATAAAAGAATAGAAAATCATATTCATAATATGCAATATCACCTATTTAACAACTTACTAAGAATAACATCAACTGATTTATTCGATGGACCGCAATAAAGGATTTTCTCTTCCCTATGCTTACTTTTATTGATATGCCATAACTGATAGATAAGTT